TTCAATCAGCAAATGATTGTTAATTAAAAGGAAACATACTGTAGCACAGTGGTAAACATGCTCCTTACCCAACTTTTTTGGAACATGTTGCAGGCATCAAATTTGGAATGAGCATGTATTTACTAAAAAAAATGAAGTTTATAAGGTAAAACATCAAATTGTTTTCAGCATGATTCAGGTCAAACATAATTTATTTATCACTGCTTTGTTTTATTAGCATTTCACATATTATCCCTACTTTTTAGGAATTAGGTACATATAAATAAAATCACAAAACAGAATATTCATCAACCTTTTGCAAAAAGATTTGTACCTTTAACAAAAATTTGTTCCATTCTCTAAGCATATGCAGAAACCTTATTGGAAAAACTAAGCAGAATTGTGTATTCAACTAAGTCCTAAAGATATTTAATTTTTCCTCTATGTCTATCAGCTGACTGAAGTTTAAAGTAACATAAAGTAACATAAATGACATATTTCAGGGTGAAACATTGTATCAGGGAAGATCTCTAAATGGTGGGAGTGGAAGGTAGGGATGGGCAGTATGACGTTAACAATATTGGGATGAATTACATCACAGTATGCTTTCCTGAGCATATGGTGGATATCATCAGTACTTAAAGAGCTCTGGCCAACTATATGTTTCATTAAAAAGAGAGCATGATTACTCCTTTTGGATTTAGTGCAGTTAAGTATGTGAATCATTAAAGAATAATAATAAAAAATGTCTTTAAGTATTGTGATATATTTTTACCATTCGCCCATCCCTAGTGGGAAGTGAAGCATGATATTATTGGATAACAAAAGTCATTACATTTTGATGAAAGATCCTGAAAAACAAGAATTCTGACTTTTTAAATGGTATATAATGGAACATGACCTAACAAGATTAAAAAAGGTCCATTTTGATCTCAGCTTGAATTTAAGTACTATTGATGGAGGCATTTTGGCCAGTTTGGCGAGCCACTGATATACAGAGCCTATAAATAGTGATTTTCTCATTCAACAACACAAAATACTCTGTAATTTCAAAGTGAAATAAATGCTTAATATTTTACTTATTAATTTGCTAAATTATATGCATTGTGAATTATAACATAAAACAACTTACCTTTAATCTATTTAGAGGGGCAAAAAAAGGACTCCATGCTTGGATCATAGCCCATATCCCATTCCATAAAAAAACATTTACCCAGATTATTATCAGAATAATCACTTTAATGGAGTACTTTTATGTTTTTGATTGACATTTATAACCACTCTTTAAATCAAATATTTTTATTCTTTCATTTCCTGCCTCATATCCACATTTTTGTTAGAAACTAGGTGTGAATTCTTTTAGCATTGCTCACAGCCTGCACTAATCATTTACCATGATGAAAGCAGAGTCGTTTTTTTTTTTTCCCGCCGTGGGAAACCAATCCTACTCTGTGTTTTGATTTGATCCAGCATTTTATCGGCTTGCATTCATATCAGCCGCAACAGAATCCAGCCTCAAGATCAACAGTAAACAGACAGGTCTAGGAATAAACACTATTTTCCGGCAGTGGGATAGAGAAAAAATCTTTTGCAATCGTAAATCGAAACGCCCACCTCCCTTTTAGAAGGTGTTTTGGAGCCTGTTGTGCGGCTTTGCTATTGTTTGCAGGTTTATAACATGCGATGGCTTCTGATTTTCTGAGCTATGAGCTTTGTCAGTCAGCTGCCTTAGTTAGTACTTCAGCATGTGTGTTTTCACCCATGCTGAGTCATATTAATACAAAGCGTCCTCAGAATTTTTTAAATATTTTTGTTGCTTTGTTTATGCTACAGTTTTTTGCGTCATTTTTTTTTTTCACAAGAGATTTGCTTTTTTATTCAAGCAGCACCCCAAGGTCCTGTATCCACTGTGTGTAATAATTGGCTTTGTAGAGTCAGAGAAAAGGAACGCTTTATATAATATCTTAAGCCAGAATTGTTATAAATCTGAAGCTTTCAAACACATACTGTGCTGCCATTTCCCCACAAACTGTTCAGGCAAGGTGTTCAGTTCAGTTAGTTCTGCTTTGATGATAATAGGGTCAAAAAAGGTGAGGCTGCCTGGAATCTCATATCATGGAAAACCTAATTGAGTCCCAGTTTTTGAATAGTATGTTTTTGTAATATCATGAATATCATCATAACATTTAGCCTATTCAGCCTGTAGTCGTCTAGCCCCGCCCATTCATACTGAAGTTATAAGGAGTGTTACAGTCTGGACTGCCTTTTGAGATGAGAAGGGACAGCTAATCAGAACAGAGGTTATTTATGTATATCAGTCTTAAAAGCACAGTAACAAAAACAGCCTCTTTAATTCCAAGGGATGAAGAAAGGTCATAGACATGTAATAATGAATTATGACTATGACTTTTGATACATAAAACCACACAAATGTTGAACATGAAGAACATTTTTAAATTAAAAAGTTTTAAAGAAAGTAATAAAATCCACAAGCGAAGTATCAAAAAATAAAAAATTATGACAAAAAATCTAACTTGTCACTTTTTTCTCTTTGGTGTCATCTGAATCCCATTTCTGGCAGCATTTTCCCAATCTTCTTTGTTTGTTTGTTTGTTTGTTTGTTTTTCATTTTTGAAGGATTTTGCTGATAGATGGTTTTGCATCTGGAATCCCCCTTTGCATCTGCAAACATTCTTTTCTCTCGAGTTTTGTCAAACTTTCATGGGTGAGTGGAAGATGTTTACCCTAAATATCCATTAGTCAACTGTTTTTTGGAAAGGCATGTTCTTTGACCCATAGCCTTGCCCACTCCTAGCATTTAATGGCTTGGCCTCCAAATTTAAAAATTAGTGTTAATGAAATAAGTTTGACTTCTTTTTTATCCGATATTTGGACAAATCTAACTACATAAGGTTGTCCATTATTGGTTGGACAGCACTAATAGCTAATAGACTTGTAGGAGATAAGATGTTGCATGTTGAATTTAGAGTATCATCAGCATATTAGTGGTTGGGGTCAGTGGATGCTGACATACTTGTTTTTAAACTGGGAATGAATATGGTTTCTTGATTCCAGTCCTGATAATTAACTTGTAATTAACTTGAAAGCCCTGTTCAAGCACAATTAAGTCAGTGAAGAAATCAGTAACTACCTGATTAATTATCTGACTGTTAGATTGGGACAACTCTTGATTATGCAGAGAATCAGATTGTCTGTAAGAACAATGTTTAGACTTCAGCATTCAGCCTACAGTCGTTTAGCCTTGCCAATTTTTTTGTTATTTTGTTATTATTTGGAAAAAATTCTTCTCAGTGACCTGTGTCAGGGCAGGTAAACATTTTATATTTTGAACAGGGAGGAAGTGTCCTTGATATGAAGCACTTCTCTTATAAAGCTTCAAAAGCTATTTGAGTACTAATGTTGCCCCTTGTGGAGAATTCAGCCCGCTAAATGTGAGTATGTGAGCGGGTGAGTTGCAAGTCAGTTTCATGAGGTGCTTTGTACCTAAAAGTGAGTGAACCTCAACAATTTTTCCCTTATTCCAAGTGTGCAAAGACACATTTGCACTGTAAAAAGTGGCTCGTCAGATCTACTAAAAAAAAAAACTACTTTATGTGGTAACAAGCAATTGAACTAGTTTTATTCAACTTAAAAAACTACACTGATTGAAAGAATCATTCATTCAAAGTATTTAGTTAGGTTGGATAAAACTAGTAAATTTACTTGTTACCACATGAAGTAATTTAGTAGATCTGCTGTACCGCTTTTTACAATGTGGTATACAAAGTCTTCTTTATTATTTTTCACTGTTGCTATTATGCTAATGTAAATAATTAGCATTGTGTGAACATACCTCTAACCGAGTTGTGGTTTCTGACACTATATGACATACTACTGTCTATAAAAATTTACAAAGATGGCTGCTACAACTGTTTTTAGCCATGCAGCGTACTTTGTCCATTTTTATAGATGGCAGTATGTCATTCAAATGGTCTCAGGAGAATTGGCTTCAGAGAAGAAGGCAAAAGGCTAAGCTAAGCAGCCACAAACTCTCAGATGGTAAAGTTTGTGTGACGTTCGCAGTTCCATTCTTTCTTACTCAATTAATTTCATGTTCCACACAGTTACCTGAATAAAAGCACTGTTATCAGCAAAAGCCTTTTTGTAAGCATTACAGCTCCATTGTGAAACTAGCAAAAAAAAATGAAAGGAAAAATTGAGTAAATGTTATTTTTCTCCAGACTGTTTTTCAAACATATTTACAGAAGTGATGCTAAACCCTCTTTCTGTAGGTGTACCTTCCTGCAGAGTTTACTTTTAATATGAATCTAACACAGCTCGCCTCCAGTTGGTCCTGAACAGTTATTAGACATGTTGGACTCAGAGGATAGATCTACAAGACCCTCTGGATTTACATGCTATTAACTTGCTATCCCTGATCCCTGATCCTGTATGATCCGTCTGGCAGAAGGTACCGGAGCATCCGTGCCATCACTGCCAGACTCTGCAACAGCTTTGTCCCTCAAGCAATCAGGTTTTTAAACTCACAAGGACTGAACTAAATTCTCCCCCCCTACTCACTCATACACACCTCTTTTGATGCTCTACTTGCACTATCTATCTGGAACATTGCTGCTAATACTGTGTTTACACTGTATTTACCCTGTTTTTACTACCTCAGTAACTGTTTTACTACCTTAGTAATTGTTTTACTACTTCAGTAACTGCTGTGTATATGTATGTTATCTGACGTAACTTACAGATCACATCATGTTAAATATGTCTGCACCTTATTCCACTACCTCATGTCCAGAAATCTGTGCTGTGTCGGTGCTACACTGTCCGGTCTGTTTACTGTTTTAATTTATCATATTTATTGTATTGTTTCTAGCTTAATTTTTGTTTGCACTCTTGACTTGACTTGACTTGACTTGATCCCTTAACCAAAGCATTGCCAAGTTAAGTGCTACTGTCATCCATTGCCTCTCCCTCCCTCCCTCCCTCCCTCTCTCTCTCTTCAGGAGCGTTCCCAGACTCTGCTTTGTACTCTCGGCGGGACCGTCTGCAGAGGCCCTCGCACATCGCCACTAAAACCTTCCAGGCACTGCGTGTGTTTGTGAATGATGAACTGAATGAGCTGGTGGCTGGACTGGAGGCCACTCAGGCTGTCCTGCGGCCCGGTGGCCGTCTCTGCATCCTCACCTTCCACTCTCTGGAGGACCGCATCACTAAGCGCTTCCTCCGGGGCGAGGACCTGGCCGCCCCACCGCGGCGAAACGTCCGACAGTGGGCCCGCAACCAGCTCCGAGAGGCAGAGGAGGAAGAGGAGGAGGAAGAGGCAGAGACGGGGAGGGAGAGCAGTCACTGGGTCAGCATGCAGAAGAAGGTGGTGGTGCCCAGCGAGGAGGAAGTGCAGGACAATCCGAGGGCTAGATCGGCTAAGCTGAGAGCGGCCTTTAGACGCTAAAGAAGAACCTTTGGCTTCCATCCATCTGGTAGCAATCTTACCGCAGTGCTTTGACTGAGCAGAGAGGAGAGCTCGACTCTTATGAGGTCTTTCTTCCAAACCAGTTCTGAGATTAGCCCCTTAAACTGCAGATTATTATAGAGTTTTTCATTTTAAAGCAATGATTCAGCCAAAAACTGAATTTACATTTCTTTTGCTAAATTTCAGTGTTTTAGGGCTTGTTATTCTGTACCTTCTATGAACTGTTCAGTAACTTGTATGAAGCTTATATGCAAGTTGTGTATTTGAGAGTGAACTGAAGTGTGGCTCTTCATGCAAGGTCTTGCAGTTTAAAGCAAAATTCCACCAGTTTTTCATAATTCCTCCATAATTCAATTGCTGAGATGTAAACAAAGTCATTCAGAGTGGTTTTATGTGAAATGCTCCATTCTAGAAAAACTTCACAACTAGGGCTGAGCAATATGACAGTATTTATAGTTATTGTGATAAATTTGCTCATAATATTTCACAATATGCTTCTGTGAGCATATTAGGGATATCGTCAGTGTGTCTAAAACACTAAGCAACTGCCTGTTTTACCACAAAACAAGCATAATTAGTCCTGATGAACTGAATTTGGTGCAGTGCAGTATATGAAATGCTGAATAAAAATAATTTGCACTCAAAATGTATTGTTATTGTTTAAATGCAGCTGCTGGTTCTTTTTTTTTATCCATTCCAGCTTAACAGATGTCAGAAATTTCTTCTGTGATGTGTCGTGCCAATTTCTTGAAATATTGTGACATTATATTTTTGCAGTATGGCCCAACTGCACTTCCAGTGAATACATTTTAATACATTGTAAGCAAAACATTATCTCAAAACTATCATAAAACAATGTCTCAGGCATCAGGAAAGTTGCTTGTAATTACTTCTTGTAGGTTTTAGAGGCCTTACATTCTTCAGACATCTGGTTCCTATCATAACTGTGAATTCCGACTTTTTATACAACCCACTCTGAATGACTTTGTTTAAATCTAGAAGAACTTGAAAAATCAGTGCGATTCCCATTTAAGAAGTTAGTAAGACTAACAGTAGGGTATATGTGGAACAGTGGAGTCCAGTCATATCCACAAAGGCCAGTGTGGCTGCAGATTTTCATTTCAAACAAACTGTAGCATGCTTTAATCTACTCATTAAATCAGTTGGTCTTAGTCTTGAAACCTGCAGCCTTTTGCGGATAAGATTGGACACCGCAGATGTAGAGTATTGAAAAAGTAAGAGACACAGTGGAGTCTTTTCCCTCTGATCTCTTAACAGTATCTGATTTCTTCCTGTTGGTGAAATTTGACTGGTAAAGTATTGGAATTGTATTATGTCTTTGCTTCCATTCAGTAAAATTTGCATCTCTGCAATGAAGGCTGTAAGAGTGAGTGGATAGAAGACGTGCTGAGGAATAAATGCCGTGGGGCTGTTGTGATGTATTGTAACTGTGGTAACACCAACTTGTCTCTCATTTATAGGTACATATAAAAATTTTAATGTAATAGGTCATTTTGAACCATTTCTATTGGTCCAGTCTTGAAATATCGACTGAATGTAAAGGGCAGCTCTTTTCACACATTGTCTAAAAAGAAAAATAAAAAAAATGTTTTTCACATCATGTCAGAATCTTGTACCTTTTTTTATGCATGTTTAGTATGTATGTGAATGTAAACTCAAATCAGCTGCTCTACATACATCCTTAATTTCAGCTCAGATAAGTCTAAATGAAAACAAAACCTTCCATATCTTACACGCCTACTCCACAGAACTTTTCATTTCAGCATGGATGGTAATGAAAGGGGTTGCAGTCAAGTTACTCCCTGCTCGGTTTCTATTAGCAGGTAGAATAGGAGCAGTCTCATTCATATCCCGTTCATTTCCCACCTCAGCCAGGACACGGTCTTCGCCACCATCTAATAAGAGACTCCAGGAGCTTGCATGTGTGTGAGGGAGAGAATTTCACTTTCAATTTGTCCCAATGAGTGTTTGCACGCTGTAGCGCATGCGTGGGAGTTTGTGTTTGCGAGAGTCAGCATGAGAGTGAGTGCGTGTGTCTTTGTGCCTTAAAGAATGAGCCGAGAGTTGAGTGGTATCGGAGGATCGAACGTCGTGATCGATGGGTGTTTTTGCATCACTGCAGTATGTGCGGAAGTGGCGGAGCGCGAGTGTGTGAATGAGTGCATGGGTGTGCGCTGTGCCCACATGGAAGTTGGCAGTGCGGCATGTGTCAGAGAGAGAGAGAGATAGAGGGAGAAAGATGGAGAGATTGCGTCTTTATGCGGTGTCCTCTGTCTCTTTGTGGAGCTGATGGGTGAGTCACACACCTGCAGGACGCGGGTGGGACTCTGGCTGCCATGGTGATGCTCTGCGCCTTGTGTACTGTACTCTCTCTCTCTCTCTCTCTTTCTCTCTTTCGCACTCGCTCACTCAAACTCTGAGTCACATCAAATCTGATTAACTTTGCATATACACTTCATTCTGAGACCCACCAAACAATCCTTCTGCTTGTGTAGAATAGCAGTGAGAGGAAAGTGTTTCATGAATTTGATGAATAATATAAATTAAACCACTTCTCATCTGGTTTTCCTCAAAATAAGACCTTTGTGTTCTGAGTCAATCAGATTTTTGTGTACGAAACACAGATAGACACATAGAAGTCAAAGACGGTTCCTTAATTTTCAGTTAAAACAGCCATGAAGTTATTAATTTTTCAGAAGATATATCTGAGATTAGATGTAATCCACTTGCTTAAGGAAGAGGGAAGTCAAAGAAAAATAAGTGAAAAGGCAGATTTTTCCAAAACTGCAATACAAAAAAATGATGAAAAGCTATAGAGAAAATAGGACTTTACACAACTACACAACAGCTGTTAGACCACCAAAACTGTCACCATCAGATAAACAGCATTTAAAACCTTCGTCTTTGAGGAGAAAACCAAGCTCCCTTTTTTGCTTCAGATCTGAAAAAATCCACAGGTGTTTCTGTCCATCCTTCCACTGTTAGAAGACAAGGCTATGAGCCTAACGGATGTGTAGCTATCAAAAAGAAGCCGTCACTGAGGAAAGGAACAGAAGAAAAAGAATGCACATCAGTCAAAGAAGCTGATGGTGTTCTCAGAACAACGGACTGACCACCAGAGTCCGGACCTCAACATCACTGAGCGTGTTTGAGATTACTTGAATCGTGAGAGGCAAAAAATGTGACCAAAAGTCTGAACTTTGGAGGTGTGAAAAAATATCTCTGCAGATTTCTTAAAAAAACTGAAAGCAAGTCTCCTGAAAAGAACGGAAGCCATAATACAGGCAAAAAGTGGACAAGTAAAACGTCATATATTTTATTTTTGAGACTTAATAAATGATAAATAAATAAATGCAGGGTGGTCTCTGACTTTTGCACAGTACTGTATAAAGACAGATTGTACAAGATATAGGACAATATCGAGATACTGCAAGACTGCAACAACTGCGAAAGTGATTAATACAATTTTTAATATAGTGTTTGTATTAGATTTTTATTAAGCCTCTTACATTCATTTGCATTTACACTTATCATTAGCAGATGGTCTAATCCGGAACGACTTACAAAAGTGTCTTATTATCCACTCAGAAAAATAATCGTAACTAGATGAAACACCTCCTAATGCTTATTGTTCAGTAATTACATAGAATAAAATGCATAATAACTATGCTATTATTAAGTTATAAGCAGGGCAAATAAAAGCCTGCACCTGCTGACAGGTTGTGGCTATTTAAGAGGTTAAAGTACAGCATTTTTCAACCTAATCTGCCATACTTGTAGCATATGGTCAAATACCATGTACAAAAACTTTGACACTTTTCCCTGCGCTTAGTAAAAGAGCAGAAAACCTGTTGACTCCCCTAATAGAATCCAGTGGGCATGTGCTGAAGCAACTGCCCATTGGCTTCCATTATAAATCTGTTTTCAAGTACAGTTGAAATTATTGTCCATGGAAATTAACCATACTTTACAGACATGGCAGATAGAGATTAGGTTGAAAAACGCTGCTTCACAGTCAACTGTAATAACATAACTAAGAGCTAAAAGCCCATAATCCTATATTTTATAGCTGAATCCTGTCAGTCTGATGTTTTTTTTGTATGCCTGTCGGTCTGTCTGTCTTCCCTCTCTGTTTAGGTTTCTGAGCTGTTTGAGGTGCACAAGGGACTTCGAGTCACTGCTGCCTCCATCTGGCTAGCATTCACAGCCCGAAAACACAAACAACAGCTCGAGATTCCTAACTAGCAGATAAAACGCCATATCAAATGTCCACTCGAGGGAGTTGACCGGCGCCGTGTGCGTTCTCGTGACGTGCGCAAGTTTCTTCGCAAGTGCTAAGCTGACATTTAGAAGTGGGAGAGGTAAGAAAAAAAAAGGAAAAAAAAAGTTGACTGGCCTTAGTTTGTACTGTTCTGCTTGGCATGAATCAGTTAGCGTGCTGATGCTTTAAATACTCAGTGACTCAAAACATGTCAGCATCTCTGCGGGAGTCTGTGACATCTCCTCAAGGCCCAGACTCCTTCTCCTCTGCCTAATTGCATCATTTTGTAAGAAAGCATTGTACATGTCCAACAGTTTGTAGACATCAGCTCGTCCAATGTTTCCTGTGAAATCAGACATGTTTATATGGTATTTGTCCCCCCCTTTGCTGCAGTAACAGCCTCTACTCTTCTGGGAAGGCGTTACACTAGATGTTGGAACATTGCTATTCGGATTTGATTGCATTCAGACACAAGAGCACTAGTAGTCAGGTACTGATGTTGGATGATTAGTTTTGGATCACAAATGCCACTCCAACTCACCTCAAATGTAGTGGAAGAGGTTCTATCACTCCAGAGAACGCAGTCTCACTGCTCCACAGCCCAATACTGGGGGTCTTTATACTTGAACTGATGCTTAGACATTGTGACCTTGGTCTCACGTGTGGCTGCTCTATTGTTAATGTTTTCTATGGAGAATATACAAGATATGTATGCACAATTGAACACCTAAGCACCTTAAAGCAGTTGAATCTTCTAAGAAAAAAGTTTCTGCATACTTTTGGGCCCACAGTGTCCAAAACGGTGACCTACAGGAAAACAGAAAATGTCACGTAGAAAACTTTTCAAAACGTTTTCAGAATTTCTGTTGTTCAGTTTGTCAAAAAACAAAAAGTGTACACACAATGCAGTTTAAAGGGCAGACAGTGTTTTCAGATGATGTGAAAAACAATTCAAACCAGGATTAAATGTACAGTTTCCATATATTCTTAGGACAGCTGCAATTTGCTTCTGTGCTACAGAGCAACACATTCCCCCTCCACCCCTCCTTTCTTTCTCTCACCCTCCGTTTTCTCTCCTTTTCCCTCCGTCTTTGACTCCTCTCCGTCTCCTTCTCCTGTGGACTCTAAATATACACCGCCCTCTCGTTGCCGTGGAAACTAAACAGCACATGTAACATTGAACTTAATGGTGTTTAAGTGTGTTTTCTGTTCTAATCGTGGCACGATCGGCCGCAGCCCCTCCTCTTCCTCCCTCACTCCTCTTCCTCCCTCTCTCCTCCTCCTCTCCTCCTCTCCTCCTCTCTCCCTTTGACGTCACGGCCCCCCTCGCCCAAGCCGCCTGCATGCTAATGGGAGGCTATCTGAGCGGCCTGTGCACGAGGCAGACGACGCCGTGGGAATTCTGATCATTCGAGCGCTAATTATTTCTTATCTCGAGCAGCGTCCACCTTTTTGTAAGGGGAGTTATTAGGATTAAGGAGACAAGTGTCATAGTATAGACCAGGCTCTGAGATCAGGGTGCTAAACAAATGAAGTCTGCTCTCAGAATAAAGATGATGCTCAATAGACCATTGATGGACTAATTTAGGCATAATGGTTTGTAAGTCTGCCCAGTCAATGGCTAATTTTTCTGATTATCATTGCATTATGCCAATAAACATCAGCTCATCTAAGAATGCTTTTCCACTGCACAAAGTACTGGAACCTTCGGCTTTTTCCACAGGCCGTCAGTTTAGTACCGAAGGTTCTTACCTTATGTTTTTGTCTGGTACTGGCATTCGAGGGAGTTCTACTCTGTAATTGAAAACTGCAGCTGAAGCTAATCGAATTTAGTGAATTCTTTAGAGTTCCAGGTGGAGATAAAGTCACCAGGTACTACAACATGAACAAAAGGTGCACCAGAATGTAAATTAGAGTAATATGTTGATGTGTCGATTGCGTTTTTTAGAACAAACACTTTGCAAAAAGGTTGCTAAGGTGACATAAGCTAATTAGGAAGCTAATTAGCATGTATGCTAGTGTTTTTGGTCTTATTCTTACACTTAAAGAGAAAAATATAACCTGTGTTTGAGTCGACTCATGAGTCTGTGTATTTCTGTGAATGTGTTAGCACGGTATATTGTTCAGCTAACTAGCAAGCACTATAGCTACTTAGACAAATTAGATGCTTTAGAATGCTATAAAATGACCAAAAAGACGATTAAACCATTAATCGCAGATATTATGATCTCCCAAGCAGATGAAAAATCAACTAGAACTGTTTCTTGTTTTTGAATGTGCAGTGAAAATCGAGCTAAA